TTTAACTAAGTGTTTTATTATTATTCTATGTGTATATAAAAGATACTTATGAACAGGCCATCAAATAATAGATCTCTGCTCTGTAGTCTAGCAAAAAAAAAAAAAAAAAAAAAAAAAACAAAGAGACCAAGGGGTGGGGAAATTGCATTTTTTTAAAGGAGAAAAATTGAGGGCAAAAGGTTTAAAGGTTTAAAGCTTACGTTATATTTTTATTGTATAGATAGAGGCACTTGGTTTGTATAGGGGGGAAAAAAGGTTAAAAGATATTTTATGTGAATAAAGCCAAAGGAATTCTTAAAATATAATAATAATTATTTAACAGTCAATTACAATTATATAAAATTTATGATATTTGTTTGTGCTTTGTTCATTTTTATGCCATCAACAAAACGTATACTAAGTTTATCGTTAAGTTTGCAAAACAGTCTTAGAAATTATAGCGAAGCATAACCATTTATCTGTTCGTTTATTTATTTGAAAGTAACAATTTATTTCAATAAGAATTCAAAAAGATCGCCAAAAATTCTCAGCAATGAAGAATTTAATAAAATCCTCATTCTGCAACAATAAGTGGCTCCTTATTTATATAAAGAGTAGATTGATTGGCAATGTTTTATTCTTATATAACATCATTTTTTTATGCACAATATACCGCAACAATCCAATGTCCGCTCGAGTCCTGGTCTACTTGAATAGGGGCTGAATAATCATTGCTAGAGGCATCTTGAAGATCAAACAATAATTTCGGCCCTAGGGCATGCTCTTCCCGAAAACGAATATCGTAGGTGTTCATATCCTAAATATTGTAAAAGTATTTTGTATGGTTTCAGTTTACGATTTTATTTCTTACGAGTGCTTTATAAGGCAACTAAGAAGGCTGTAGATTTCTACTGACTTATGGTTATTTTTAAATTTATCGAGCTCTCGGCATATGATTAAAAATTTGCTCACTTAGTAGAGGAAAGAGCTTAGAAAGCCCTTCTTCGAAACCTAGGATGAGATAGTTTCATTAAAAATTACGATTTTTCGATTGGTTCGCTCAAGTTGCGCAAGGGGATTGTCGTCATACTTTTAAGAGCACGTCTATTTACGTTATTTAGTGGTATTGTGACGGGCAAACACTTAATTGTGATTTGTTGAAAAATAGGCCAGCGATTGTTATTGTATCGCTATCTTTCTTCATTCGCTCTTTATTTCTTTTTATTCATCAATAATTTGTAGCGTTTGCGATATGAGAGCGCATTGAAATGAAAAATTCGAATTTGTTAATTAAATCCATAGAGTAATAATCGACTTTTATGAGAACAATATTTCGGTAGAATATTGGTGATGTCGAGTTGACTTTAAATGCGACAAAGGCTTTTATTGCTAATGCGAAATTCTATTTCTCTTCATCACTGAAGTGAAAGACAGCTTATCGTGCAAAATATAAGTAAGTTTTCTTCTAAGGAAAGTTTGTGGTCAGGGCACTCTCCGTTTCTTGTATCCTTGTTTAAGCGGATGGGAGCTTACATGTTTAAAAAGAACATTCTTTCTTTATAAAGAATACCCCTCACTAGACATATTGTTCAGGTTCGCAGAGATTCTTAAAATTCTATCACTGCTTGCATCTGAACTCAAAAAACAGCGAGAACTGTCAGATGAAGTGCTTACCAAATTTGAGTCAAAACCAAGACAATTTTGATCGCATTTTGCACGCTAAGCCTAATACTTATTGTTTCTACCTATATTCCAGTTGGTTTCTAGAGACTCTCTTAACAGTCTTAAGGGCATTTCAAGATAAAAAGTGCTTTGCTTATCCCAACTGATTCTACTGATACATCATAAATCTGCCAATTGTTGATATTCGTCATATAATTCTATGTATATACATATATACGCATAAATGCATAGATAGACGTATGTAGTAATTTGAAAATCGTTGAAGCTTACCATCGCACAAGGCAAACTAGTTGCATTTATTCAATTGAAAAGAAACAGAAATTATGTGATAACAATAAAGTTGATGAACGTTAGCATGCAATTATTCAAGCGACAACTTCAGCATCTATTTATATGATAGTAACAACATTTATGTATTATAAAATTGTATTATGAAATAATACAACAACATATTGTTGGTTAAGTCTATTATTTCTTCTTCAGTGTTTTTTATATAACAACCAGAGAAATGAAAAAAAAATTATCATCTCCTCGATAAAGAATACAGCAACATACATACGCAATACACTACATTCCATATTCATATTGTTTTATTATAATCAAAGTGAAACTACTGCGGAAAAGTAAGAAGAACAAGAAGAATGAAAGTGACAAGGATGCGTTTACTATACACAATCACTTAAATATTTCTTATGCGATATAAAAGAGCTTAAAGAAGGGAAGAGAGAGAGAGAGAGAGAGAGAGAGAGAGAGAGAGAGAGAGAGAAAGGAAGATAGCAAGAGTTCGAGGAGCACGAGCAAAGAAACTAAACGAAACACTTTCGTTTCGAAGCATAAACTTTAGATGCTCATCGCCTGAGGTGTATGTTTAAAAATTTGAAAAGTTCTTTTTTTTCCCCCAATTATATTACACTCATACATAAAACTTGGAACTTCATTTTTAAGGTCAATTTATTTATTTATTTACTTTTGGGTTTTTTGGCTGCTGTGGACGGAGACTACCGTCTCGCTCCGCTTTTCTATTTCATTTTTTTTTTTTTTTTTCACGATTTCAACTCAATCTCAAGCTACGAACAGATTAGTTATATAAACTTATGAGATTCATGATATGCGTCTCTAGATTGTAGGTCGAAAGGGGGATGGATGAAATTAGCATTCATAAGTGTTCGCCGTGGTGGACTAAGCAGTTCTTTATAATGTTAGCTGGATTTCTTCTCTTTTTTAAGGAAATCTCTGTTTGTGTGTGTGTGTGTGTATATATATATATATATATATATATATAGTAAGTAAGAGGAAGAGTATACAAAAATTTTCTCAAAGCATTTATTACAAAAAGAGGGTAGATATCAAGTTGGATGCGTTTGTCAAGTTTAGCTTTTAGTTTTATCGATACATAGTTTTCTTGTTTGTTTTACTTATTTAACGATATGTTAAAAATTATGTTTAATTAATAAATAATTAAAAAGAAGAGCGGGACAGGCTTGTCAAATTATTTTAAAAATATTCTCGTGGATTTCGAATGATTTGTAGAATTTGACATTTTTTAAATCATTCTTAAAATTACTCACATTTTTTATGACAATTGAACTAATTATATGCATTTTATTCATTATTATTACTTATTTTTTTGTATTTAAAAAAAAAATTGTTTTTGTAGATTGTTAGATAACAGTTATTAGTTATTAGTAATAATTGTTCTTTGCATTTTATTGTATTTAGTTTTTCTCTTTTATACCCAAAACTCTCCTGAACCCCGACAATTGCCTATACGCACTGCTATTGTTATTATTATTATTATGATTATTATTGTTATTGTTGTTATTATTATTATTATTGTTGTTATTATTATTAACACCGGCCGTTGCGGCATTCGCTGCTGACCATGAATAGGCATTTTGATATGTGACGGGAAAGTCTGTCGGGGCCAGGAGTAATCCTCACGTTCTCACAAACTTGTATACTATTAAAAATACCATAAATGATATGGCCACCAAAATGACAGCGGTCACTACTTTAGCGCAGGTATTTAGACCGGATTCGTTTGGATTTAAGGGGCGTGAACTCATTCGGGTGGCCGACCGTCTACGTTTCGAGGCTAGACCGCGCGCCAAAGCCGGAAATGCTAGCGATTGTGTGAAAGTTAGTTTGTGTATGGATTCGCTTAATGAATAGGGACCCACCGAACCGCGTGCGGCCGCCCTTAATAAAGCGTATTCTAAATCCAAAGCATCGAACAGTGAATAACGTGCTGTCATTGTCGACGAGCGACGTCGTTCGTAACGTGAATCGCGTTCGCGATCTGATTGCGGCTGCAGCCACGGATCGGAGACTCGTTGCTGGGCCCCCGTAGCAGCTGCCGCCACGACCGAGGACTGACCCGTCACTCCGCCCCCTAGGCTGACTGCGGCTACAGAGGTTAGCGACGATGTCGTCGACGACGAGGCAGAACAGAGACGCAAATTGGTAGCCAAACCATTATCATGAAATTCCGTTACGTCCTCGATTGATGTCTGATCAGGTGAGGTTTGCGAACGTTCCAATGCGGCAGCGTGTTTCATACGCAATGCGAACAGTCGCGCGTGATCTGGATGAAGAAGAGCACTGGACTTTCGTCTATAATTGGGTGCACCTATGCTAATACTGGCACGCGGGCCCATTCTATGATGCACTTTTGGCGTAAGGTTTGGAGAACCTTGGGTTGGTGTGGTGGCAGGTGAGGCATTGCAGGAACTGATGGCTTCAACTTCAGTAACTGAATTGCTTATGCTAATCAGAGTTGACCCTGGAGGTGGAGGCAAAGCATTTGGAGAGGGCGAAGCTTGCACCGAATCGATGCCCGAATCGCCTGCATGTAAAGTATCACAGTAAAGTGAATTACGACGCTCCCCTGGTGTATGAAGTGTCACTTGATTGCCCGATGTACTGTTATTACTACTATTACCCGAAGTGCTTGTTGTAAGTGTCGTACCAGTACTAATATTAATGCTGCCACCACCGCCATTGCTGCTGCTTGTACTAGTTTCAGCTATTGCGGGGAAAACAAATGATTGACCATCGGCTTCGCCTCTGGGTGAATCCTAAAAAGTATGCATACATATATATATTCAGAAAGCTTTGTTCGATAGCCAATCATACAATTATTACAAAAAAGAAAAAAATAAATAAAATTATTATGATGGAAAATTTTTTGTGCTTTATATGTGAAAAACATGGTCGATTGTGTAAAAGTGGGTAAATAGATAAAATATATATATAAATATATATCTATATATATATATATATGCGTGTAAATAAGTTTTCAATAAATTTTAATAATATTTTTTTAAAAGATAAAATTTCCGTCAAAGTGCATTTATTTAGGTTTATGTGTAGGGCTCTTCCTAAGCAATTTGGGGATATCTAGTGAAGGGCACAGTTTGCTTTAACACATGGGTTGGTTTTCTGTTATACCATAAACCAACCTTACGATATTGTTATGATGATAGATCGTTTTATTTTTTTAGGGGACGTCTGCCTTCATAGAAGCGAAAATCGCTTCTATTCTCTTTTATCAACTTTAACAATATCGCAATTTAGTAAAGGAACTATTGGATCGTAATTGGTAAGAAAACAAATAAACAAAATCATGCATAGTTTAGAAAAAATTGAAAAAACCATTAAATGTAAAAAACAATTTATAGTAAAAAATCCTTCCTACCCTTTGGCCTTCGGGGCCAGAATTGCGACGTAGCTGTATAAAACCGTCCTGTTTCAAAAGCGGCTTTAAAAACACACATATACACGCAGTACGCAGTATTTAAAATATCAAACGAAATGTTTGTGAAATGGAAAAAACGAAAATTTTTTTAATTACATAAATAAAAAAAAAAGAAAAGCATTTAAACTAAACTAAAAAATATTATTAAACGGTACAAAACAGTTTTGGCGTTAAAGAAACAAAACAACTTAACAGAGAGAACAGAGAGCATGATTTTATTTCATTGAGTTATCTTATGTTTGTTCGTACCTGGCTGGGCCACACCTGCAGTAGAGGTAGAGAGCAAGTAGGTTTGTTGTCATGCTTTCCGATATCCCTAACGATTGCATTGTCTGACGTGGCAACGCTTTGCGCCAGACTCGTGTAGTGTAAATGATTGTAACGTTGACCATCACTGTTGGTTTTTGGCCTCGTGGGGCTCTCGTAACCTGTAGAATCTTCGGATGAAGTGGTTTTTGGTGATCGCCAAAATCTCTTTAGACGCAATTCGCGTCTTTTCTCTTGTTTCTAAATAAGAAATTAAAAACGAAGGTAGATCATATCGAGAAAGAAATTGATAAACCGATAGGTAGATAGTTAGGTACATCGATAGAACGAGAGAGAGAGAGAGAGAGAGAGAGAGAGAGAGAGAGAAAGAGAAAGAGAAAGAGAAAGAGA